CTATGCGTTTATTTCTTCTCCGGACTAACTCTTTGTTTTGGAATTAAACAGAATATATTGACATGTATAAATTTATTATATTAGAGGATGAAAATTACACTGCCTGTTATTTCTTAAAACTATGAATTTATAAGTTCTGTTATCTACAATTATTTAACGATGTTTCTGGATGGATTTGAGTACAAGAGATTGGACTCAAATATTAATATTAAAATAGCAAATACGGATAGCTTATCGAACAAAGAAATAAGAGAAATAAATTATTATTATTCCATAGATACGAAGTATTAGGCGAATAAACTAGCGAAACTTATTTATTCTAAATAGGAAAATATTTATGAAGAGTATTGATTCTGATTTCTAACAGCAAATAATTATTAGTGATTATACATGAGAACTTTTCATAATTGTAAATAACATATACCAGGTGACTAAAAACTATATAGAAATACATAGATACTTTAATTATCTTACATGTGAGTAGGTAGGTACATTACAAAGCTATCAAAAAAATTTGGATGCCTTTGTAATTTTTTTATCTGAATCTAAGAGAGATTTCGATTTTGTAATTTTCACGGAAACTTTTAAACAAAATGATTTGAACTTTTTTCAAATTGAGGGTTATAGATTAATATACAATTCAGGAACATTTAACAAAAACGATGGTGTATTTTATCTCACAAATACTATCTGAGGAATGTCAGTATGGATTTCAAGAAGGAAAATTCACTGAAGATGCAATCTATGTTCTAACAGCTAACATCTAAAAAGCTCTTGATAATGAAAGACCAGCTCTTTGTATATTTGTAGATTTAATAAAGGCATTTGACACTGTCTCACATAAAATGTTGCTAACTAAACTTAAAAAATATAGTATTAGAAGGCTTGCATATACTAGCAAGTTATCTTCTAAACAGACAACATGTTTATAAAGATGGAGAAATTAGTAAGGGAAGAATTATATCCTATGAAGTCCCGCAGGGAACAGTGTTAGAACCAATTATCTTCAATATCTACAGCAATGATCTATTCAGACTATTTACTTTTATAGTAGCTCTACTTCAGTGAGTTTTTATGTTTTCCTAGTTTACCTTTATAATATGCTTTTTGTTTCTTGTAATCTATGTAAGCTTCTAAATAAACATTATTATTATTATTAGAATACCTTTCCCTCCAAATGTTTAATGAATAATTTATATGCTTTAGTGTGTTCTTATTATTCTAAAATGTATAGAAAAAATATTATATTCATCTTTAGATTTGAATAGTCCCTAGGCTGTGTGACTATTAAATATAAAATTAATATATAAGAGATCTTGAACTGATAAAATATAACTGATAGATTACAATTTAATTATTAACTTTATTTCTATGTAGCTAAGTACGAATATTATATAGTATAATACAGTGTGGAAACCACTTATGGAATAAAATTGTTTGTGTCCTTATTATAGAAAATAATAAAAAACTCTGGGACACGTAAACTTTTAAATTTAAATGTGCGCGTTTTAAACATCAATTTCAATGTACACGGTGATCCACGCAAGCCTGGCATAGTCCATAATCCTTATTTTTAGTGAAACACCCTGTACATTTTTATGTTTTTAAAAGATTCTTTTTTTTAACCTATTCTCTATCCTTCCATTGTTGAATATAGGTCTCCCCCAGTTCTCTCCATCTTTCCCTATCTTGAGCTGTTCTCTGCCATGTGGGACCTCCTTGTTTCCTGATGTCATCTTTCCACCTCATCTGTGGTCTGCCTCTTGATCTCTTTAAATTGTATGGACGCCACTTTCCGATGGCATTGTTCCATCGTCCGTCTTGGAGACGTTCATTGTGTCCAGCCCATTTCCATTTCAGTTTTGCTGCTTGTTCTATCGCGTCTACTGCCTTTGTTCTGGTTCTGATCCACTGGTTACGTTTTCTATCTCTAAGTGATACACCCAACATTTGTCTCTCCATCGCTCTTTGTGCCTTCCTTATCCTATCCAAATTGGCCTGTGTAAATGTCCATGTTTGTGCTCCGTAGGTGAGCACCGGTATTATACAGGAGTTATATACCTTGCTTCGTAAGTATAGAGGGATTGTTTGATTTTTTAGAACGAAAGAAAGTTTGCCGAACGCTGCCCATCCCATTCTTACTCGTCTTGATATTTCGGCTGTTTGATTTTCTCTGTTAGCTCTGATTGCTTGTCCTAGATGGATATACTAATTTACCTGTTCTATTTTTTGTGTTTTTATTTTTATTGCCTCTTGGTCTTCCGTGTTTGTCATTACTTTTGTTTTGTTGAAATTAATTTTTAGGCCTTTTTGCAGTGATTTTTCATGAAGTTCATTCAGCATTATTTCCAGTTCTTGTCGTTCCGAGGAGATCAGGAGTATATCATCCGCATATCTAAGGTGATTTAGGTATTTTCCGTTAATATATATTCCTCTGTTTTCCCAATCTGTTGATTTTATTATGTCTTCGAGGGTCAAGGTAAACATTTTAGGTGAAATTATATCGCCTTGTCGGACTCCTCGTTTAACTTTTATATTATCAGTTATTAATTTGTCGTCCAGAATTACGGTCATGGTTACGTTTTGGTAAATATCATGTATCAATTGTCGGTATCTTGAATCTATTCTACTATTGACCAGAGCTTCTTCAACCGCCCAGTGTTCAATGCTGTCGATGTTCGATGCCAAAAGATTCTTAACAACCTGATTTTAACGAAATATATCATGTAGGGTCTATAATGAATAATACGAGGTGACATTTTGAAACTAATAATTTATCACGTGTTATGGTATTATTTTAAATTAACCAAATACAGATAATACAATTCTACTCTAAGTTTCACCATATTGGTGATAATTTCTGTTTAGTAACCTTGTTAACATTTTTTTGTCATGAATAGGTAAAAACTGTTTAGATAGTCTGCTAATTAAACTAAATCGGTAAATAATGCGGATTGTTATCAATCAGTTGTTGGTGTGTTGACATTTTACATTAAAATAATACATTCCTAATTAAAAGCTAATTTCTTGCAGAAATAAAAATAATATATTCGACTGACATCCACCGAATTGAGATTTTAATGACGATCGGTTACGGGGAGAATTGTAAAAGTCAAGTTGAAGTAGCAAACTTATTTAATCAGAGGTATCCTCAGTTGCCTAATATTTCACAAGGAACTGTGTCTAAAATTTATGCACAATTCAGAGAACTTGAACATGCCAAACCATTAAAAAGAAAACCGAACTTCATTGAAGGTGAGGTGAAAGTTGATATTTTGTTAAGTAAGTGTCGCAGAGAATCCAACGTCAAGTTCATCTCAAATTGCACGTCAAAATAATGTGAGTCACACAATTATCCTAAGATGTCTTCATGAAGAAACACTCTAACTATATAAATTGTCTTTTGTTCAGGAGCTAACAGGACACGATCCAGATGGTAGAATGTATTTCTGGGAAAGAATGATCGATGAAATTTACTCAAATGAAATAGCCCTTGGACAATTCTTTTTTCTGATGAATTAACATTTACGTTGAACGTAGAGGTTAACCGACAAAACTGTAGATATTGGTCATCGGAGAATCCTCATTTGATGCGTGAGACACACACTCAGTATTCTCAAAAGTTGAATGTTTGGTCAGATATTATAGGACATCATAGATGTCCTATATTTGTAGATGGTAATTTGACAGCGGAAAAATATTTAAGCATACTAAGAGACAATGATCTTCCTCAGTTGGCTAACTTATATTCCAATCAATTCCGCATGAAACAGCCTGGTTCCAGCAGGACGGTGCAACACCCCATTATGCTTTAATGGTGAGAAATTACTTGAATGAAATCTTCTTCAGTAAATGGATTGGAAGAAGCAGTACTATTAAGTGGCCGGTTAGGTGACCAGATCTTACGCCTTTGGATTTTTTTCTGTGGGGTTATCTCAAGAACAAAGTATATTCAACACAACCAACTAGCATTGAAGATCTCAAAGAAAGGATAACTACAGAAATACGGAATGTTTCACCTCAAACTTTAAACAAAGTTCGGGACGAGTTTTATAGGAGACTGTGTTATTGCCAACAATAAGGTGGAGAATATTTTGAGCATTTATTTTAATGTAATCCAATCAATTACCTCGGGTATTCTATGAATTAATTGTCTTGAAGAAAATTACACTTAATTTCAAAATTTCACCTTGTATTATTCATAATAGACACTAGATGATATAGTTCGTTGAGATCGGGTTGTTAAGGAGCTTTTAACAACATAAAAATATGCAGGGTGTTTCATTTAAAATACAGATTATGGACTATGCAAGACTTGCGTGGATCACCCTGTATAATTAAATATATGTTTAAGAAGCGCACATTTAAATTTAAAAGTTAACGTGTCCCAGATTTTATTATTTTCTATAATAAGGTCACAAACAATTTTATTCCATAAGTGTTTTTCACACTGTACATAATTATATAATTAGATGTATCTTTCCTAATAACAAAAAATCATGTTTTTAATTAATTTCTGATATTAGACATGTTCTCAATAACTATATTTATTCATACTAAGCAAAACAGCATCTCAAGAAAGTTTCACATTTGATATTAAAAGCTTAAATCCTCAAACCATATAGCATAGCAATGCATTAGAAATTTAACCTCCTCACCACCTCATGCGCAAGCCTGAACTCTACGTATCATATCTTTCTTTCATTGTATCATGTACTGAAGTAATATTGAGGTCCAAACAATTTCACTTACAACAGTAGCGTACCTAGAATTTTCCTCTGGGGGGGGCTTTGGTTGGGCACCGATTTTTTTAAGCTACCTCCACCAATTTAAGTCCTTAAAATTTGTGAGTAACAGTGTCGAAATAGTGCCCTAGGGGGGTTTTTACCCCCAAAACCCTCCGGGTGCGTCACTGAATTACAATCATTTTTGTCGTAGATATATGAATTTCCCAGACGTTCAAATCTGTGTTCAAGAAAAAAATGTGTGCTTTAAGTATTATATTATAATGTGTTTATTAAAAACCATAAAATTATGTAAATAAGGGACTGTTTGCGTAGTTTTTCAGTATATCTTTGATGATAATGGGATGTGCATACATCGGAAGGAGATCTAAATGTTGTTTAATAAAGTTTAAAACTTTTCGTTCGATATATTTAGGATAACCAAGTCTCTTAAATTTTTCTTCAAGTATTTCCTTAGATTCCTGAGATATCTACAATCAGAAATAAAATCAGTTATTCTATTATATTTTTATTATATTTCGACTAAAGATTCTGTCATAATCATCTTTTTATGAATAAATATTTTAATATCCTATTATCTTATTATCTTACTATCTTACTTACTATTAAACTGGGAATAAGCCACAATTAAAGATAAAAATACGTTTATTGACGTTTCAATTTCCACTTTGGAAATCGTTCTCAAAATACAAACAGTAAATTACTGTTTACAAAATTACAAACAAAATTGTATGTCAATGCCACAAGAAAATAGCTTCAGAACAATACTATCTTACTATCTTATTATCTTATTATCTTATTATCTTATTATCTTATTATCTTATTATCTTATTATCTTATTATTTTCTTATTATCTTATTATCTTATTATCTTATTATCTTATTATCTTATTATCTTATTATCTTATTATCTTATTATCTTATTATCTTATTATCTTATTATCTTATTATCTTATTATCTTATTATCTTATTATCTTATTATCTTATTATCTTATTATCTTATTATCTTATTATCTTATTATCTTATTATCTTATTATCTTATTATCTTATTATCTTACTATCTTACTATCTTATTATCTTATTATCTTATTATCTTATTATCTTATTATGTTATTATCTTATTATCTTATTATCTTATTATCTTATTATCTTATTATCTATTTACGGTATTATCTTATTATCTTATTATCTTATTATCTATTTACGGTATTATCTTATTATCTTATTATCTTATTATCTTATTATCTTATTATCTTATTATCTTATTATCTTATTATCTTATTATCTTATTATTTATTTACGGTATTATCTTATTATCTTATTATCTTATTATCTTATTATCTTATTATCTTATTATCTTATTATCTTATTATCTTATTATCTTATTATCTTATTATCTTATTATCTTATTATCTTATTATCTTATTATCTTATTATCTTATTATCTTATTATCTTATTATCTTATTATCTTATTATCTTATTATCTTATTATCTTATTATCTTATTATCTTATTATCTTATTATCTTATTATCTTATTATCTTATTATCTTATTATCTTATTATCTTATTATCTTATTATCTTATAATCTTATTATTTTATTATCTTATTATCTTATTATCTTATTATCTTAATATCTTATTATCTTATTATCTTATTATCCTATTATCTTATTATCTTATTTACTCATTATTCTCCTTCATCATCTATCTAACTTCTCGCTTTATTATGATCTGTAGTCCTTCTTCTCCTCGATTGACTGCCAAGGATATTATTGGTATTCTCATCTACATCTTCCTCCCATCGGTCGGCCTTTCAATAGGTCTCTACCTTTTAGAGGTTTTTTTATTCCTTTCAGTACCCTACTTTTAAAGATATATATGCGGTTTACAGATTTTTGTGTTAAGACCCAAGTTTCACATACTTAGTTCACTATAGATGTGTTTGAAAGAAAAATATTACGTAGAATACTGGGCCCAATAAGTAAAAACAACAACTGTCGAATTAGGTATAATAGAGAAATATACGAGCAATATAGCGAACCAACTCTAGCACAATACACTAAACTGCAGAGATTACGGTGGGCAGGACACGTGGTCCGCATGCATGAGAATAGAATCCCCAGAAAATTACTTAAAGCAAGAATGCAGGGAACATACCTGTTGGAAGATCTAAAAAGACATGGGAAGACGAAATCGATGAGGATGTCAGGAAATGCCTGGGAACGCGTTCATGGAAAAGAACAGCCTTAAATCGAAATCATTGGAGAAGCTTGTTGAAGGAGGCCAAGGGCCGATTTGGGCTATAGTGCCATTGGATGGATGGATGGAGTTTATATAGGTCGGAATATGGTCTTGTAGATTTGTACCTTAGTTCTTTGAGTATAGCGTATTGGCTAGGATGACTCTTCTACTAAGCTCTACATCATCAGTGTTGCCGTTTCTGATGTTGACTTCTAAATAGACAAAGCTATTTACTTTTTCTAAGTTGATTACCGTCAAGTAGGGCCATGTTGCTCCCTTCGATCGACCTTATACTATTTTATTTTTTTTGTGTTTATTGACAAACATTTTTGTGTAGCATGTAAATTAAGTCCGTATATGTATTCTCACCTGTTGCTTTGGTCCTGCTTATGATATCTATGTTATTTCCTATGTATGCTGCCAGTTGGACTGATTTATTGATCAGTGTGTTGTTTCTACCTTCTGATGTTTTTCTAAATAAATATTTCACTGTTAAATTAAGTAATATCGGTGCCAGTCCATCACAATGTTTTAATTTTTGTGTTATTTGAAAGGATCAGTCCTCTCATACTGTATCTGTATCTGCTCCACTATATCCGCAATCGTAATTAAAAACGGTATTTAAAATTTACATAATATTTTGTATAATTGTGCTCGGTTTTATAAATATTATAAACATCTATGTCATGTTCCAAGGCTTTGTTTAAGACCTGTCTAACCGTGAATAGTTGGTCGATGGTTGACCTTTCTTGCCTAAATCCTGCCTGATATTCTCCGATGATATTCTCTGCATATGATTATATTATACTGGTAAGTATTTGATATCCACAACACAGCAAGGAGAATCTCATACAGTTTTTGAGAGAGGAGTTTATTGCCCTTTATATGGATTTAGTGGATAATACTCTTATTCCACTCTTTTGGCAGTTTCTATTGTCTCCATATTCTATGTATAACCTCATATATCCTTTTTATGAGATCATACACAGGGGCATTGTTATTTTTCTGCAGTTTGATTGTTTTTTCAACGTTCTCTATCGCTGGTGGTTTTATTATCTCATTCTCTTCATTTTTTGCCTCTTCCTACTGTCCTTCCTAAACTGTCTACACAGTTTATCAGCATTTCGTCATTTGCTTCCAAATACCATTTTTCTTTCTCTAGTTCGTCGTCATTTAGTACACTCATTATCAAACCATTGATTACCTTTCCTTTCTTTAGTTCCTAGCATCGATTTTGTTGCAATTAATGCTACTTATTAGGTTCCACTAGTCTTCTAATGATCTCTCGTTGTTTTCTTTATATTCAGTTAGCTTGCTCTTAATTTCTTCTTCAAATTTCTTTTGGGTTTCTTTTTTAATTCTCTTTTGCCTGTAGGCTGATCCTACATCTGAAGTGTATCTGAACTAGTAAGTGGTCTGATCCGCAACATGCATCTCGTCTACTTTTTACGTTCAGAATGCTCGATGCTGATCGCTTTTCTATGAAGACGTGGTCTATTTGGTTCACCACATCTCCTCCAGGGGATATCCAGGTGCATTTGTGTATGTTTTGTGTAAAAATATGGTAGAACTGATGATCATCTCTTTACTAGCTGTACAGTCAATAAGATATTGGCCGTTCTTGTTTCAATGTGGATATACCTCCCTATTATTCCGATGTGTTCTTTTTCAGTTCCTTACTTTGCGTTTGTGTCATCTATAATTATTTTAATGTCTCTTTTGGTGTTGGGTCGCATGTTTGCTATTTTAATTGGTAAACATCTACTTTGGTATCCTCATCTTGTTCATTCGTTGGGCAGTGAACGTTCAAACAGATCAAACTAGTACCCCTCCAATTCACTGAGCAGGGCGCTCAACACTCCGGATCTGTTTAAAGTTCGAACGTTGTAAGTCCAAAAAGAGATATCCATGTTCCGTTCCCAACATCGTTACCTTAACATCCGTCCATTCCATGGATTTTTTGCGGGTTTTGCGGCTTTATTTGGGCTTGGGCCCGGTACTGGTAGTTACTGAGCTACTCAATTGACCCAGAACTTGCCAGAGGCGGAGAAGTTATCTAATTATCTTGTACTAAAACGAACTACAATTTTGTGGAAAGCTAAAAAAACAAATACTTAAAGGAAAACTACTTTGAGGAAATGACACCTAAACTAAAATAAATACCAATATAAAATTAAAAATAAGAATATTAAGACGTATATGAACAAGATCGAGAGAATTTTAATCATGGGTGTGTGTAAAAACTAATTTTGGTTAAATCTTTATGATAAAGGAACTTACCTTATCCCATTTGTTTTGTTTATAAAGATTAATGAGATCATTTATTAGGGATCCTCGACCATTTGTACTCTGTAAAAATAAAGCTTATAATATAATGTTAAAAATCTTTAAACCTCATTGGTAAACAAAAAATTTAAATTTGATTCTGTACTTGAACTCTAAACATTTTATATAACTAAAAAAATATTAAATAAAAATTAAAAATGGTCAACTACATGATTTATATACAATTGCAGAGCTAAAATATTCCAAATTAGATCCTTTTTAAACTTTAATGTTACACGCAATTACTATGTAATTGGCAATAAGCCACAATTAAAGGTTAAAGTACGTTTATTGACGTTTCAATTTACACTTCGGAAAGTTGAAATTGAAACGTCAACAAACGTACTTTAACCTTTAATTGTGGCTTATTCCCATTTAAATGGTAATTACTTTTAAATGCCACAAGAAAATAGCTTCAGAACAATTTTAATGTTACAACTAATCCTAAATTAATACCCCATCCAATTAGCAAAATTGTGCCAATGAAAAAGGGAAATTCAAGAAGTACGTATTAATTGTGTAAGTAGGTGTAGTGACGTAATCGTTAATTTTTTGTTTTTAATTTAAATTCAACCAAATTACAACTAATGATTTATTTAATAATGTACTTTAAAATAACCAAATTATGCACAATAATTATTTTAAATTAAATGTTCGAAATGCCATCCATCAGTTTCTTAACAATATGCGAATCTACGGACACATTCATCAAGTACAGTGCGGATGACTTCTGGAGTAATTAGACTCATTTCATGCCTAATTCTATCTTTTAAGTCTTGTTTTGTTTAAGTTTTGGGGTCTATGGACATAAACTTTTGATTTTATGTAACCCCACAGGAAAAAGTCTAGAGCTGTTAGATCTGGCGACCTTGCTGGCCACTCTATAAAACATCGTCTTCCGATCTACTTCTTTGGAAAGCAATGATTTAAAAATTGACGTACTTCACGTGCATAATGCGAAGGCTCTCCATCTTGTTGAAACCAGATATTTTCACTAGGTAAATTTGGATTATTGCCAGTTGAATTCATGTTAGCAAGGACATATATAAGTTGATTTCTCAAAAAAGTTAAATAACGTTCTCCTGTTAGATTTTCTTCAAAGAAAAAATATCCAATGAATCTGTTATTAATGATCCCTGCCCATACATTTACTGTCTGAGGATATTGCGTGTGTGACTTAGTCATCCAATGTAGGTTTTCTTGACTCCAATATCTGCAATTTTGACGATTCACGGTACCATGTATAAAAAATGTGGCTTCATCGGAAAAAAGGATTTGATTGTAGTTGAATTTTGTAGGGATTGTATTTGTCTTTTTTTAAAATACCTAATATCGATCGTTGGGAAACTCCAGTATATTCAGCCATATGTGTTGAACTACTGTGAGGATTGTCGTGTACATTTAATGAAATAACAAGTTTCACATTGTCTTCAATTTTAGGACGCCCAGCGTTTGGAATATGTTTAACGTGTCCAGTTTCTCCAAATTTTCGGACTATTTTACTTACTAATGATTGGCTGATGGCCTATATTATCTGTCTGGATAATATCTGTCTGGATATTTTGCGTTGAATAAATTGCATACCTTGTTCTGTGATCTTTTTTTTATCTCCGTATCCGTTAAGAATTAATATTTCCATGCGTTGTGTTTCATTTAGGTGAGCCATAATTTAGTATTCAAAAGTAAAAATTACAAGTGGCAACTGATGACAATTCACAAAATCAAAATATTTACGTCAATAAATATTAGAGTAACTATGCCACTATCACTTGCTTGAATTAACATTTGACAAAAAGTTTCAGTGTTTATGAGATAACTTTTTGTGTCCATTATTATTTTTTATATTATTATTATTATTTATGCTTTTCTAAGTATTTACTTCAGAAAGTCATGGCAGGAACCGATGGATGCCATTTCTAACATTTAATTTAAACTAATTGTTATGCATAATTTGGTTAGGTTTAAAGTATATTATGAATTAAATCATTAGTTGTAATTTAGTTGAATTTGAATTAAAAAAATTGTTTTTGTACCCTTAAAAAATATTTTAGTTAAAAATGTAATGTCGTTAAATAGAGAATTAAATTCTCCTTCAAATGAGCTGTCGCATTATACCAATTTCCATTAAAAAAAAAATAACGGTTATGTCATTACACCCACACCGGTGATGTCATCCTTACTCCATGTATGTTATACGATGGGTATTTTATAACAAAAATCGACATGTCTCGGGATTTCCCTCAAAACTCGACGGTTCTCGAAATAATAATATTCCATGATTTAGTCGTTCACTGTATGTGTGTGTGTGGGAGTATGTGTGTACATGTGTGTAAGGCGTTAGTAAATATTTTAACATTTACACATGCCTATCTGTAAGTAGATGCTAATAATATATTCTAATTTGTACAATATTACTTACCACGCTTGATGTCATTAACATATTTAGTTCTTCCAGAAGATCGTGAAAATCTTCGTGGTAAAGGGCATATGCCCAAGGTTCTCTAAAATATTCAAACAAATCCGTAATAAGAACCATTTCAAACCGTAAAAGCAAATTATTTAAGAGCCGTTCATGCTTTCCCCAAAGACAGTGAAGATTGTAGGTGTCGATAGACTAAAAAATAGTAAATACATATTATGATTTTTACAATATCATTTTTAAATTAGTAATAGCCCCGATTATCAATAAAATAATGTATATATATGTATATATATATATATCTTTTTTCTTACTCTTATATATATATATATATATATATATATATATATATATATATATATATGTATATATATATATATTAATGTGATATTAAAAGCCTGAGGTGCGCCAAGCATTTAATTATCTAATTAATTAATCAATTAAACTTATTTAAATGATGCAATTATGATTCTATCACACTATTTAATTTTCTTATCTCAGGGTTATACTCGTGCTTCAATATCTGTGCTTTACATATGATAGGTAAGGTCCAAAGAATACCGGAATATTAAAAAAAACATATATGATACAACATCATATATTGAAATAAAATTTACACTCAAATATCTTCAATAAAAAATATCTCATAAAATGATTATCAAAATTTTGTTCTACGTACGTAAACCTTCAAAAAATTAATGGTATATACAATATAAATTAAAATTTCAAATCAAAATTGTTGTTCTAAATCTCCTGATCAAAATATTCCTATCTTTTCTAAAGCAATTGTTAAAAAAAAATTGTGTTGTTAATAAAGAAAAACGGCCGACTAGTAAAACTATCTATCTGTTGATGAGTTGTCCAAATCCTTGTTCCTTGTAGCCTACACAATCTATTCTTAGCAGTCCCCTAGGTAATCATCAATCTTACAACAAATTGTTGCCAGCCTATCGTCTTTAATGATCTCCTTCAAATGTACGTATCGTTCAAATGATGCTATCCTCTTCTCCTTTCGATAAACTGAATCTTTCGTTCTGGCCTGAACAGTGACTCTTGGAATATAAGTAGAAAAATATAACTTACAATATTTTACTGGATCAGCTTCTGTCAGATACACTTACTCAACGAAAACTCACAAACATTCACTTCTACTGCTTACTACCTCTGGGGAACCACCAGAGAACGACTGTTCGCCTGGCACCCTTGGAAAATAACTGGTTATCTTTTCTTCCTCAAAAATCTAGCTAAACTCTTATTCCTACAAACCTATCCCACTTTTTTCAATCTCCTCAAATCAAAGCTCGTCACACTTATCCCCATCTACCATTTAGATAACAAACAACAATTTTACCTATAATTATAAATTTCCTAAAAACTGTTAATATGCTAATCGGTTTCAACAAATTCTTAAGAACTAACGGAGAAATATATTTTTTAAATATTTCTATTCTATTGTCTTATTCACTGTATATCGACGTACAAGTCTCTTTGGACAACCCAATCGCATTGTTCACGATTTCACTAAGCTCACTCACGTCACTCGAAGATATTTTACAAAGAAAATAATTTATGCATATCTTTAAATTTTGTTTACTACAGGTAATCCAGGATAATGGACTTTCATTTCTTCGAAATATCTTTTATAGTTTATTAGTTGAATTATTTGAATTATTATATTTTGTACTTTGAAATATATTAAGAGCAAACCAATATTATTTTCAATTTTACATAGCATAAAAATATATACACACAGATAACGACATTGTTTTGTTGTCCATAGGAATTAAGATTTATTACAATCCGATCTCTGGAGTATATTTATTATAATACTCTAAAACTAATTTTTTGGTTATTTTTTAGCCTTAATAATAGAAATACAAATAAATAAGTAAGTAAATAAGTATTATGCTTTATTTTCACTTAAAACTTGTACAAATTTTATGAGCAAAGCTTGTAAGAAAAGAACGAAGAAAAAAATCAGAATAAGAATCTTACTTCTAAAGTTCTTTTAAATAAAAAAAAACAATAAAATTCTTCCAAACTTAAACATAAAAAATACTACCTAATTAAGAACCTAAAAAATTCGTAAAATGTACCTAACAAAAAAAAAAGAAAATAAGGAAAGCAGATTAATGAATTAAGAGCTCAAATATTCTACCTCCTTGTGCTAAATAATAACCAAATCTGTCATACAGATTTCTCCTCATATTTTGGAGTAAGGCTGGTGTAATGCTGGCAGAGAAATAAAGTATTTTTGCTCTTAATTCGACTAGGTTTGTGACCCTTTCAAACTGACGCCCATAAATGTTTTCTTTAAGAAAACACAAAAAAAAAGAAATCGTTAGGCGCTAAGTCACAGGATCTAGCGGGCCATTTAATTGTACCACGTGTACTTATCAGTCGATCAGGAAACGTTTGATTGAGGAAGTCAATAGTTGCTCTAGAGTTGTGAGCCGAACAACCAGCTTGTTGGAAATAAACCTCCTGAAAGTTACCGGCAAAGTGTCGAACTGCCGGAATGATCTCATTATGTAAAAGTTGTAAAGGTCCGTTTAGATTTCCATCGATAAAAAATGGTCCGACAATGTTGTCGCCTAACATCCGAGTCCAAACATTTAACTTTTGCGGATGCTGTGTTTGCACTGCAACATTGAGGTGCTTATTTTTCCGAGAATAATACCTTGCAACGGATGGATTGTGTTTTTTATGTAATGGAAATGAAGATTTGTCAGAAAATATAATATTTTTTAAAAAGTGTACATTTTCATTCTGTTTATCTAACATAAATTCACAAAACTCCATCCGCCTAAAGTTATCTTCCGGAAACAGGTCTTGTTTCCTCGCTGGACAGTTCGGCCATTCACGTTAACTTACCTAGCAATTTGTACACTATTGCAGGGATCATTAGCTTCCACAAAAGCACAAATATCAATATCCCTGTTTTGACGCTCCTCATCGACAGGTCTAATACGTGGTTAATTACCTTCATGAAACTTTTCACAACTTTTTACATATCCTAAAGTTTGAAAATGTTTAATGGTATTTTTAACTGTTGTAACACTTGGGGGGGGGGGTTTATTTTCGAATGCAACAATAAATAAATCAATTACTTCGCATATCGAATGACTTCCTCTTAATTATTTGTTTATTCTTTCAGAACTTCGTTTGAAATTTTTAATGTGAGTGTGACAATTACGACAATTCGTACGTACTGTGAAATGACTATTGAGATGGAACCGTGTAACTTTTTAAAGCGATTGACATTGTGTTGTATGGTCAGTAAAACAATGTCTTGATCTGTACAAAAAGCTAAGTAGAGACCCCACTTTACTTTTCAACAAAAAGCAAATAAATTAGTAACAAATCTAAACAAAACCTAAGTTAACGAATTTAAAAGCAAAAAATCTAAGAATTTACAACTCTATAGCACCTAGATTCTACTCTCTATCAAAAATACATAAACCAACCCTAGCAATGAGACCAATTGTTGCATCCATTGATTCTCCAAACAGTAAATTATCCAATAATATCCCTTAACAGAAATATTAACAAATGCATACAATACAAAAAATGATTACTATATAAAAAATTCATTTAGTTTCAGCTTCTTTAGCAAAAATTTCAAACTTTCCCCTAATTATGTGTTGGTAAGTTTTGATGTAGTATCATTGTTCACCAACTTGTCGTTTCAGCAAATTATGAATACTATAAAAAAACAATGGACGAACACCTCACAACAATAGATTTTAATTCATTTGTAACAACACTACCCTTCATATTTGACTCAAACAAACTGGTTTTCAATGAGGTGTATTACAAACAAATACATGTTACACCCATGGGAAACGAAATATCACCAATCATATGTCACTTTGTACTGGATGACTTATTTGAAAGCTGTATTAGCAAGTTACCATTTAAGTAAGACCAACCTAGTATTAAATATAGTCACATCCTGAATATAGAACAGCCTGTCTTAAAAAACTAAAAACGATCATGTTAGAAAATTCATTCCCAGCGAACCTTCTAAATAAACTTATTTTTGGTGTCTCACAAATCATGACAGATCAAACAGGAGTTTAAACAAACAACCAAAATACATTGTACCACTCTACCATATATTCCAGATTTAACAACTAGACTATTAAATACATTTAGATAAGCAACTAATATCAAAATTGGAACCAGAAATATAAAAACAATATCGAAATTACACACCAAACTTAAAACGCCCTTAAATATTAAAGAAAGCTCCAATGTAGTGTACTCTCGACCCTCTAATAATTGCAATAGAATATATATCGGAGAAAAGTCGAGAAATTTGTCAGAAAGATTAACATCGCACAAGAGTGACATTAATCTGAATAAAGTACAAGCCTGTGTATTAAGTGAACAATTGAACATTCTATTAGAATGGGCCACACGCCTATGATCAATCAGAAATATTAAGAAGGGAAAGAAATTACAATAAAAGACTGTGTTTAGTAACAAACTCTGTTGCTTGTTTAATAAGTGCAAACGAAACATTTTTACATATTATGTCAAACTTTGCAAAGCCGGTTTGCATAAACATAGACACTTCCTCTGCCAAACTAATCTAAAATGAATATAAAAAATAGAAGAGACATGGAAATCATAATAATAAGTTTTGACTGAAAGAAAAAGAAAATCAAATAATATAATGTCAAATGTTGAGTAATTCTTCTAGTTTTATAGTACAATTCTCACAAGGGTAAGCCTGTTGAAGATACAACTTAATTGTCTTATGTAGTTGTTTATTTTAATTTTTAGTATGTTTTGAGAAAGCTTAACAAACCTTAAAGAGTTTTACTTAAAGGCTAGAATTCGACTACAAACTCCAAAATATCCATATATAGCATTTTTCATATAAAAAACCTTGCACGTCATTCAAGATGTACATTGTCAGAACCCCACAGCGTTGCCAAAACATCAGAATAGTTAATAAGTGAGGAATTTTTAAAATGTCAACTATTTGTCAAACTATTATATTAACATACACTTAGTTTTAAGACTACTACAACACATTAAAATATATAGGAAAACATTTTAATACAAAATTATATATTCTAAATTTTAAACTTACCTCTTTTAGGGCTTTAATAGTAAAAACGTCCCACCATTATCTCTTGTTCAAAATAATCTATCTTATATGAAAGCTTATCAGCTTTCTACAG